GAGAGAGAGAGGGGAGAGAGAGAGAGGGGAGAGAAATAGAGAAGGCAAAGGGTGTTTTTTGAGAATATATTTAAATGATATTTTTACTTTTTAAAATGTTGAGTGGATAAATTTGCTTCTTTCCTCCGACCCCGCCAAAAATTGACAATTGAAGTATGCCACCAAGAATAAAATTTATGATAGGAAATCAACGACGATATCAACAGCAATGGTAAGTAAGGAAATCAAGCCACTAAGACGCATGGAGTTGCTGAGTGTTAGAAAATATGAGAAAATATACTATTAAGAAGAGAAAAGACAGACGGTTATTTAAATTGTTGAAGATCAAAGTTGACAGGAAAGCAAGAACCTGGAATTAACTTCCACAACCGAGCAACTCGATAAAAGAAACTTATGGTTAAATCTAGCCATTTCAACTGTAAGATGATGACGACTTGACGCTTATCTAGTAGTGCGCTAATATTCATAAAGTCTAATAATAATAATAATAATAGTAATAGGCATTTGCATCTGTCAATACTGGCACGATACATGGTGCAATGGGAAAATTGTCGCCATATTATATTATTTTTAATTGCGCGCATGCGCGTTGTTTGTTTTTGATTTTGTCGATTGCACAGTATATTAGGGTCAGTTGGGCACCGTCTGTAAGAAAAAGAGCCCCATGACGCAATTCACTCTGCCAGAAACGGCATGACGTACTACTTGGCATTTACTCTAGAAGCTCCAATACGAACATTTCAGAATGTTTGGGTGTCAGTCTGAGGACAGTGCAGAGGATTCGGAAAGAGTTGGATGATATATCCAGTCAACATCATGGTGTTTGGAGTGATTAATAGTGATGGCATCGTTATGCATCCATTCATTTTCCTACAGGGCCTCAGACTCAACACGGAGGCCTACGTCGAGTGCCTTGTGGAGGGAGTGTTGCCCTGGGTCAAGTAGGTGGCTTCCGTAAGACCTTATGTCTGGCAACAGGACTCTGCCCCATGCTACACAAGTAGGAGAACCCAGTTATGGCTATCAGATAATTTCTGCGACCACATCACCTCTTACATCTAGCCACTTAACTCCCCAGAGTATACATTTTCAACTTCAAAATGATAATAATCAACTTCAAAATTAACTTATTTTCAGGTAAAAAAAATGAATCAACTCCAAAATGGATTAATCAACTTCAAAATGGATTAATCAACTTCAAAATGGATCAATCAAGTTCAAATTGGAAAACAACTTCAAAATGAGAAATAATCGACTTCAAATTGGATTAATCAACTTCAAATTGAGAATTAATATAATACTAATAAATTTAGTATTTATTCTTTTATTTTTACTTAAAAGGGATATAAAAAATATAAACGTTCCTAAGAAATTTATTTAAAAGATTACATCATTTAAGTTAATTACAGAGGGAAGTAATCTCTGTATTCCAGATACGAAGTTAGTGCAAGTCTCAGGGGAAATATTATTAATTGCCTCGGAGATCATCGCTTCTACCTTGCTCAGTCGGAATACTTTAGTAGCTAAAGATCCCTGGCCATCACCTCTTAAAATCTCAACAATTAAGTCTGTCATACTTCTTTTTATGTCAGCTTTAATGACTGACCAAACCTTTTCAATGGGATTTAACATCGAACTATAGGGGGCAAGTATAAAAATTTGGTGTTGCCTAAATTCATCCTCCTCAACAACTTCTTCAATTGAAGTATGGCAAGGAGCGTTTTCAATAACTAAGACAACTCCCCTTTCACAAATTTCATTTGACTTTCTAAGGCACTCCATGGTCCATTCTTTCGCATCCTCTTTTTTGAAAGAACCTCTTTTAATCTTATGATGAATTAATCCATTATTACTAATACATCTAATATTTCAACTTACCAAAAAATATCTCAATTTGAAGTTGTTTATTCCAATTTGAAGTTGTTTATTCTCATTTTGAAGTTGATTGTTTTTAGGTTTTTGACATTTTCTCAATTTGAAGTTGATTAATCCATTTTGAAGTTGATTGTTCCATTTTGAAGTTGATTAATCCATTTTGAAGTTGATTAATTTTTTTACTTGAAAATAAGTCCATTTTGAAGTTGATTATTATCATTTTGAAGTTGAAAAGGTATATAACCACCGTGATTATTGTATGTGGCTTTGGTTCGGTTTGGTTTGGTTTTCGGCATATCAATATCAATAGGTTATTTAATGACGACATTTTTATTGCTGGTATTTTTTTTTTTCAAAGATGAATTCCTATTAATATTTTTTTTCCATCAAAAATCTATTTCTGGCGATATTTTTTTCAAAAATGTATTGCTGGTAATAATTTTTTACAAAGTATTTCTGGTATTAAAACCTATTTTACACTTTCATGGTGTTTTGATCCCAGTTTAGGGGTTAACTATTTTCCCATAGCAGGGACCCTAACAGATGTTACCAACCCGGGTCAGGGTAGACATGGGAACACCAGCAATTAAGAGGTGGTTCCACGCTCCTCAAAACTTCTTGATCAGAGACCTTGCTGTTGGATGTAGTTTATCGTCTTACCCAGGACGGATTACGCGTGGCACAGTTGAGCGGAGACCAACAACCGAAGATGAAGGCAAAGATTATGACAGCATTCACCAACTTAAACAAGGTGACAATCCAGAAGAGTTGCAGGAGATACCGGAATCGTCTGGAGGCGTGGTTTTATTGAGTAAATTTACTATTTAATATATATATATATATATATATATATATATTTGTGTAATATTGGCAAATATATCTGTTAGAATGAGATCTTGTTGTTTTTTTTTTTTTTTGCGTAATTACGACAATTTATCCATCGCACCCTGTATATCGCAGCCAGGCCATTAATGGAATTATCTACACATACAGTTGTCTCTCTCTCTGTGTGTGTTTATGGCAATGGTTTTCACGTCTACCCAGATGTGAGAGCTTACTGCTAAACTACGTTGAAATACCGGTTCTCTTGCGATTACAGAAGATAAAGCAACGTCGAGCCTAGTCAGCACCTACATGGGTGACCGCTTCATTATAACCTTGATGTGCGTGCGTTGCAATGAATAATGGCTCGGGACTGGAAATCAGAGAGACTAGTTCCAATTCCATTTGAGTTCGTGATATTCATTTACTCGCAAATACTCTTGGGAAACGTATAAATCTACCTCTTATCTCACCAAGATATCAGCAAATCCTTATGATATATATATATATATATATATATATATATATATATATATATATATATATATGACCCATGCCCTTTATGCCTACATGAAAAACTACACATTAAGTTTCTAAATAATAAAAATCTATTAAACAATGGACATGAGTTAACGGTTTTTTGCCGACATCACCAAATTTTTGCATTGGATAATTAGCATAAAAACAAACAAACAATAAAATAATTTTTAAAATCCATAGCCCTAATAAATATTTTAAATGCCCTACAAAAAAAGATAACCCTTTATGAAGTCGTCAAAAAACAAATATTACGGCAGTTTTTATATACACAAAACCCTTTCAGAAAAAAATAAAATAAAAAAATAAATAAATCTCCATAGACACGTAAACCAGACTAGGCGAAATCATCTTCCGTTTTAAATTTAGACACCCCAACCTTACCCTGACTTGACATCTGTGAATGTAACTTTATACTGATACAAATTATTAACACCTTACACCCTTTTTTATTCAAACAATTGTTTTAGCCGTTACCATAGACATTTTGATTTCAATAATGAATATGCTATTAAAACACGTAAATTTGAGATATAAGTTATTCCACAAAAAAATTTCGCTTGAAGATGGAACAGAGCTTACTTTAATTCAATTTAATTCAAATAATTATATTGAAGTTTTCGGCTCTTGTTTTGAAACATGAGAACTCTTATGTAGCGTGTTGGAATCATATTTTTAAATAAATAATTATATATATATATATATATATATATATATATATATATATATATATGTACAAGTATAGGATTAGTGTATGCGGAATAAATTACAATAACCAAAAAATACTATTCTTAAAAGAGTGCTCCATACAGAGTAGAGCAAATATAATTTATTTGAAAATTATAACATAATTATAAAATCACTACAAAAATAGCCATTTTGTTTCAACATTTCTGGTGCCTTATCAAGTGATGGTGTTGAACGTAGAATAAACAATTCTTTATTCTACATTCGACAGCACGACTTGATAAGACACTAGTAGTGTTGAAACAAAATGGCTATATTTGAAAATGATTATGTTACAACATCCGAGTAAATTTTACACACACACACACACACACAAATATATATATATATATATATATTTATATATATATCCGATGCGATGAGAACGAAAGTAATATATAAATTCCAACGTTCACAGCATTAATCCAAAAGAGTGCTCGATACCGATAGTAGAGCGATAATTATTCATTTATTATAATTTTATCATATAGAGAAAACCATTTTTCACTCCGTCATCTATTTTTTTTATGTATATTTTTCTTCTCAAACAAATGGAAAAAAGGAAGTAACGTTTCACACCCGCCTTGCCTACAACCAGGATTGTTCATAACCATTTTCGATTCTCACCCGTCGAAGTGCAATTGAAATGCACTAAAACCAAGTTGCATCTTTGTAGTGAGTAAAATGGTTTTGTCTACATGAAAATTTATAATATATATATATATATATATATATATATATATATATATATAATTTCCCCCAGCATCGCTTCCATCTAAAAATATTTTCTGGCTTTAAATATCCTTCAAAGGTTTGATAAGCTATACAGAACTAATCAATCAATCAATAGCCAGAAGTGGAAATGCAGACGGTGAGATGTTCTCCAATACCTCGTTTAGACAAGTCATGCGGAATCCATTTTCTCGCTGCCTCATATTTCATAAAAGTTTAGGAGCCTCTCTATGGAGCTAACTATTACGACTGAGTTATATATTCGATCCTCAATAGCAGCTTCATTCTTAACGTCTTTCGCCAAAACTATGCTTTATTCTTTCTTTCTTTCTTCTTCTTCTTCTTGTCTGTGCTGTTCACTCTTCAGGTCGTGGGCAATCATGGCACACCACAAATCCTTACCCTTATCGCCCTAAGCTGTTGTTGACTACTTACGATTTTCTCTTTTCATGTTCTGTTATCGATTTACACAAGGTCGTGTTGTATAATATTATTTACTCCGCTCTCCTGAGATGAGATGTGACACAAGGTAGGGTTTAACGTGCGGAATTGACCAGACCCCGCAACAGTCGATAGCCCTGTCATAGCTATGGCTACTGACCTCCCATCTCTCGTGCAATGTGGTGTGCTGCCTCGGTCAGCTGTTCCCCGTAACTGGGGACCTCACTGTATTTTGTTTTTCCCGGTAACTGAGACATGATAATCAAGTCCCTCATAAGATATCCTATTCGCTGCTTCCCTTGTCATTAATATGTCCAGTGGATGTCAGATATTCGAAGCTCCTTTTCTTCACTATGTCTCAAAAATATCAACTTTCTTTTTCTGATCCTAAGCAAAAGTGTTCTTCTCGTTCCCAATTTTCCTTTTTTCTTCGTGGTTCACATGTTCCTTCCGCGGTATTCTTAATATGCATCTGTAGAACCACATCTCCATTGCATCAAATCAAAACTAAACCCTGATTAGTAAATAATATAAGGCTACCTCGTCCCTCGGTAATGTTTAACGACCTAGCCTGCTTGATCATTACTAATTAGTGCGTTTGATCCTCACTGGCTACGTCATTCTCGAGCTTTTTCGCCAAAACTAATCTTCTTCTTCTCCTCCTCCTCCTCCTCCTTCTTTCTCTTCTTCTTCTTCTTCTTCTTCTCGTGATTCTTCTTCTTCTAGTCCTCCTCCTCCTTCTTCTTGTACTCCTCATGATTCTTCTTCTTCTCCTCCTCCTCCTCCCCCTCCTCATCCTTCTTCTTCTTCTTCTTCTTCTTCTCATCTAGAATACATAGGTGGATGTGCGTGTTCCAATAACAGGGGAGTTCCATTATCAACAAGCACACGCAGAAATTCCACCGATGATGATGAACGGGTGTTCTATATGGGAGGTACCCTGCCTTGAGAGCCTATTGGGACTTAAACTCAGCCCAGACATCAAGTGGATCTCGTACAAGAATGCTAGAAAAACCACCGATTCCCTGTACCATTCCAGTAAATACCTGACTCCTACTATTATCCTCTACCATTACAAGAGCCAGATCAGGATTACTGCTGCCATATATAGGGTAAGAGTTGCCCAGATTTCATTTTCGATTCTCGAGAGAATCCAAAACATTTTCTCATACTTGTCAGTGACAAATTATTTTCCACCATACAACCGCTTCCTCACAGACGAGACTTTGCAAACCTCCTGTCTTATCGCTATGTCAAGGGGGAGTATCGCTATGTCTATGGAGAGTATCGCCATCTCGATGGAGAGTATCGATACGTCCATGGAGAGTATCGATATGTCCAGGGAGAGTATCACTATGTCTATGGAGCATCGCTATATCCATGGAGAGTATCGCTATGTGTATGGAGAATATCGATATGTCCAGGGAGAGTATCGATATGTCCAGGGAGATTATCGCTATCTCCATGGAGAGAATCGCTATGTGTATGGAGAATATCGCCATGTCCAGGAGAGTATCGATATGTCCAGGGAGAGTATCGATGTGTCTATGGAGAGTATCGCTATGTGTATGGAGAGTATCGCTATGTCCAGGGAGGGTATCGCTATGTCAAGGGAGAGTATCGCTATGTCCAGGGAGGGTATCTCTATGTCCATGGAGAGTATCAATATGTCAATGGAGAATATTCAGATGAAGTATACTCCTTAGTTCCAACAGTCCTAACAGAGACATTCACGGCTAAGACCCCCTACAACGCACATTGTAGTAACAAACCACTCACATTCCCTTCATATTTGCCTGGTGAGATATAAGTTTAATTCAGGCAGCTTCTTCCCAGAAACCTCTAATTTATGGAGCAGACTCCCAAGGGGATGCTTTCCAAATCACTACAATCCGCTTGAGTGGAACTTACATCTTACCAATGAAACTAAGGATTCTGTATAGATCTTTTGAAAACACGCTTACGAAGTTTTGGTCTTTGAGAAATGAGTGCTAGAGAGGAAAAAAATTTATCACCCACAAGGACGCGGAGACGATTTTGATTTGATTGATTCGTTTTCTACGGCTTATTAACAATTTGCAAATTATTCAAAGCCAGAAAATATTTTAAGATTGTAAGAATTTGTTTTTTTTTTTTTTAATTTTATTTTGGAAAAAATAAGAATTTAATGATACAGGTCTTACTAATTAACCCATAGCTGGGAAACAAGAGGTGGATTCAAACCTTTCCCAAGGATATTTGAATATAACGAACCCAACTGGAATTGAAACCCGGCCATCCAAATTCAAATTCCGAGTCATTATCCAATACATCTCTCTATCGCTATTTCCATGGAAAAGGTTCAGATGAAATACATTCCTCAGTTCCACCAGTTCTAAAAACCCCACCCACCGCCTAAGACCCACCCTGCCACGCAGATTGTAGTGAGCCACCCACATTCCTTTCCTATTCCAATGGTGAAATGTAAGTTCTAGACGAGTAGCTTCTTTCCCCGAACCTCTGTTTTGCAGAATCGACTCTCAAGATGATGCTTCCTCGATCACTATAATCTTAACCTTTTCAAGTCCACGGTTATCTTCCCCGCATCTCCATAAATTTTGCCTCTTACTCTATAAACCACTACCTCAAGTGGCTATTGGATCTTGTTCAGGGTGAACATCATTGCAAAAAAAAAAAAAAAAAAATGTCAAGAGTTGACAGGGAAGTAAGAAGCCGGAAGAGAGTTCCACAAGCGGAAAATGCGATTGAAGAAACCGTTAGCATAGAACTGATGGTGACATCAAGTGTAAAAGGATGAGACCTTGCCGCCAATCTAGTACTGCACTCATTCAGAGTCTATAGGGTAAAGTTCATTAGAACAATTACCATGAAAGTATTTTATAGAAAAGGCATAGGGAAGATACATTACAGCAGATGTGCGTGTGGCGTAATGGACAACGGCGCGGAGAGCCGAGTTCAAATAATAATGACGTTCCATAATCAAGTGACTGGAAAAAGTGACTGATGCCCAAGTAAGTACCAATGATATTGTAAATTCTTTGGATTTTATCAAGGATACAGTATATGGGAGGAACGTCAGAATATATGTGGTAGTAATACACAAAAAAAATGGACGAATGGTACACTTATAAATATGTAAGATAGTTTCGGGCGAGAAAATATATAGGATTGTGTTACTTATAATATACTTTGCTCAGATTTCTATATTAGGGTCTTCATCCATTATAGTTGGATTTTTTTTTCTTTCTTCTTTTTTTACAATCTTCTTACAAGTCATTCTTCATTCTTTCATACTTAATTTCTTCACTTTCGCCGTCAAGAATTCTTTTCTTTTTCTTTTTTTTTATTTTGATCATTTCAGTTGGGGATTCTCCACAAGTATTCATTTAGTTTTTTTTTCTTGTTTCTTACGTAAGGCATTGTTTCTAAAATTCTTCCATCTCATCTTATTTCATTGATTTTCATATTCAAATTTATTTTTCCTTTTTTTATAATTCTATTTGTAGATTGTTCACGATTATTTATTTAGTTTTTTTTTTGTTTGCTTCTTAATTCCTTTTTTTTTTTTTTTTTTTTTTTTTTTGCTAAAACCACTCCTAAAATCATTTCCTTTTTTTGCACATATCTTCACTGAAGTTAAGAAACATCAAGCTTGGTCATTACCAAGATGGGTGACCGTTTGGAAATAGCGGCTCGGTAAGCTTGGACGGGCGTGTGTTTTAATGGATAAGGAATTGTTAACCAGGGAGCCGAGTTCTAATTCCAGTTGGGTGCATTATATTCACTTTTATGCAAATATTGTTGAGAACGATATGAATCCACCTCTTTTCCCCACACACATGGAGGGGGGGGGTAGTAAGATTTGAATCAGTAAACCAGTATTATCTAAAAAAAAAAATTACAATGTAAAAATATAATGTGGCTTTAAATAACCTACAAATGGTTCATAAGATTAAAAAAGTGAATCAGTCATTTTCATTTTCAAATTTCTTGTATCTAAATTTTTCCTTTTTTCATAATTATATTGATGGATTTTTCACAGACATTTTTTTAAAACTTTTTTCCTTGTATACTTCTTTCATTCTTTCTTTCTTTCATTCTTTCTTTCTTTCTTTTCGTCAGCTTTTCTTTCTTTTCTTCCACCCTTCTTTTTTCCTTCTTTCTTTCTTTCTTTCTTTCTTTCTTTCTTTTCGTCAGCTTTTCTTTCTTTTCTTCCACCCTTCTTTTTTCCTTCTTTCTTTCTTTCTTTCTTTTCGTCAGCTTTTCTTTCTTTTCTTCCACCCTTCTTTTTTCTTTATTTCTTTCTTTCTTTCTTTCTTTTCTTTCTTTTCTTCCACCCTTCTTTCTTTCTTTCTTTCATTCTTTCTTTCATTCTTTCTTTCTTTCTCCAAAAGTCGGTCATTCTTTTTTCGCTTTTTATACATATTATTATTCACTTTCTTATTCAAATTCTTTCAGTATCTGTCTATATTTCTGAGATGTGGCATTATATACGCTATTTACATTATTTGGACTACTGTCCTCATCTTTGTCCACATATTTATTACAACGTTTCAGCCGTTGTAGGCTCCGGAATGTCGAACTGAACCCTTTATTTCGCTCAATGGAGTAGACTGTTCTAGTTCCACGTGCCATGTTTAATGGATGCCAGTTATCTCCTGTTAATTCCTCTCTGAAAGTTCTCCACTCTCTTAACCGGGTATTGAACTCACACTCTTTGGGTCCTGTCACTGGATCTAACTAACGCCTTTATCCATTGTGCCATGTGTCCTTGAGGAAAAAGACGATAGGTAGGCAGTGGAGAACTTGGACATGGGAATTAACGGGAGATAACTGACAACTGACATCCATTAAAGACGGCACGTGAAACTAGAACAGTCTATCCCAGTGAGTGAAATAAAGGGTTCAATTCCAACCACCGAAGAGATTGAGCGTACAACGGCCGAAACGTTGTAATAAATATCCATTAAAGATGAGGCAATAGTCCGAATAATATAAATAATGTACATAAACCTCATCTCAGAAATATAGACCGATCTGAAGGTCCAAAGTTGTAATAAATATGGCGATAAAGATGAGGTTCCGAATAAGTTACCGTACATAATACCTCATCTCAGAAATATAGAGAGATACCAAGGTCCGAAACCTGATAAAGATGAGGACAATAGTCCGAATAATGTAAATAATGTACATAATACCTCATCTCAGAAATATAGACAGATACTGAAGGTCCGAAACGTTGTAATAAATATGGCAACGAAAAGATGAGGACAATAGTCCGAATAATATAAATAATGTACGAATAATAATGTACCTCATCTCAGAAATATAGACAGATACTGAAGGTCCGAAACGTTGTAATAAATATGGCGATAAAGATGAGGACAATAGTCCGAATAATGTAAATAATGTACATAATACCTCATCTCAGAAATATAGAGAGATACTGAAGGTCCGAAACGTTGTAATAAATATGGCGATAAAGATGAGGACAATAGTCCGAATAATGTAAATAATGTCAAATTCTTTCATTTTACTTTTTCATAATTCCACTTTTCCAACTTAGACTTTTCGGAAACTTTTACGATTCAATAGTCCGAATAATGTAAATAATGCGTTTTTTTCCAATATTACATTCTCTTTCATTACATTGTCTCCTTAACTCTCATTTAAATTTCACACTTTTTTGTTTTCTCTTTCAACTTATTTATTTAGTTTTATCTTGCTTCTGATACGTGATTTCTTTTTCCAGCAAGTGTTTTTCATTCTTTCCTCGTCTCTAAGTTGCTAATATTAATTTTAGTCTTTTAAATCGTTCATTCTTTTTTAAAAAAATTTTTTTTTCATTTTTCTTTACGATATTCTCCCACTTTTTTAAGATATTCTTCCTTCCTTCTTTCTTTCTTTCTTTCAATCTTCTCAACCTTCCTTCCTTCTTTCCTTCCTTCCTTTTTTCTTTCTTTCTTTCCATCCTCTCTACCTTCCTGCTTTCTTTTTTAATTTTCTTCCTCCTTTTTCTTTCTTTAAATCTTCTCTGCCTACCTTTTTCTTTCCCTCCTCTCTTTCTTTTTTCCTTTTTTCTTCTTTTCTTTTTTTCTTTTATTCCATCCTATCTACCTTCCTTCTTTTCTTTTCTTTCTTTCTTTCATATTTTTCTCTCTGTGTCTCTCTTTCTTTCTTTCTTTCTTTCTTTCTTTCTTTCTTTCTTTTCCTCCAACCTCCCTACCTTCTTTCCTTCTTTCTTATCGTCCTTCCTACTTTCTTTCCTTCTCTTTTTCTTTCTTTTCTTTCGTCCTTCTTATTTCTTTCCTTCAGTCTTCCTTCTTTCCTTTCTCCTTCCTTCTTCGTTTCTTTTTTCATCCTGCCTTTCTTTCTTCTTTCTTTCCGTCTGCTTTACCTTCTTTCCTTATTCATTTCCTTCTTTTTTCCTTTCCATCCTCTCAACCTTTCTTCTCGTATTTTCTACGTTACTTTTTCCTCCCTTCTTTCGATCCTTCCATCCCCTCTGCCTTCTTTCGTTCCTTCTTTACGCACTTTCTTCTTTCCGTATTTCTTTCCTTTCTTCCTCCTTTCCTTCGTTATTTCCACCCTCTCTATCCTTCCTTTTTTACGTGCTCCCTTCTTTCCGTATTTATTTCCTTCCTTCCTGCTTTCTTTCTTTCCCTCCTTCTTTCTTTCTTTTCATCCTTCCTTCATTCCTTCTTTCTGTAAATCCTCGCTATGTTCCTTCATTCATTCTTTTACTTTCTTGCCACTGGCATTATTTCCTTCCTTACTTCTTTTTTCTTTCTTTCTTTCTTTCTTTTCGTCAGCGTTTCTTTCTTTTCTTCCACCCTTCTTTTTTCCTTCTTTCTTTCTTTCTTTCTTTCTTTCTTTCTTTCTTTCTTTCTTTCTTTCTTTCTTCATTCTTTCCTTTATCATTGCTTCCTTATTTTTTTCCTTTCTTTTATTCTTCTTCCTTTCCATGTTCTTTACTTTCGTTTCTTATTTACTTCCTACTTTCCTCCCTTCCTTCCTTCTTTCCTTTTTCCTTCCTTCCTTCCTTCCTTCTTTCCTTTTCCCTTCCTTCCTTCCTTCTTTTCGTTCATTCTCTTGCCTTCCAACAAAAAGTCCATCTTTTCTTCCATTTCCGATTCACTTACTTTCACCAAGCGAATTATTTTCAAAACATGCAGACGATTTTAGCCTACATTCCCATGAAAGACTCCACTTTCTTTCAAGCCATACGATTGCCTTCATTCGACAAAATCTGGATACCTTTAAACCAAATAAAAAAAACAAACAAACAGGGAAGTATATAAACATAAACCAAAACAAAATAGATTCTAGAACATATATATATATATATTGTGTGTGTGTGAGTATATATATATATATATATATATATATATATATATATATATATATATATATATGATTTGTATATACAAATGCACAAATGTAAATATAAACTGTAGAAAGTTTCGGCACACTCCAGGGTGCAGATCACAATAACCATAAAAATGCTGTTTCCACTTACAGAAATAAAATCTCCCAAGTGAAAAAAAAATTAAAAAATTAAAAAAAATCCTTTGTGAAGTAGACATATTTTACTTTGCTTTTTGGTTTTATTTTTGTTTTTTTGTTGTTTTTTTTTTTTTTTGCAGTTCTCAGGTAAACAATATAGGAAAAGAAAACATTTTCGAAAGAAAATTTACACCTCACCTATTTTCCTCCTTCCTGAAATCTTTTTTTTTTTTTTTTGTTCCTTTTTACCAAAAATGGTGAAAGTGCCAATCGGAAAAGTTGACATTTTTCCCCCCAATTTAAGAATCAAGCAACATTTGTTTATTGATTGATTTTTTTTATCTTTTTTCGTCAAGGTGTTGTTTGGGGAAAAAAAATTCTTTCATTCTTCAGTCTGGCTTTGTTAAAAAGTATAACTCACATAAATGAACATATATATATATATATATATATATATAGATAGATAGATATAGATATAGATGTGTGTGTGTGTCAAAGTATGTCAATCCTCGTCTAAATTACGCATCTCATTTTAGCAGATATATTTACCAAAATGACACAAACATATCTTGAAATACAAACATATCTTAAGTAAATTTATTCAGTAAAATCGTGACGTCCAGACGACTTCAGAATCTCCTGCAACTCTTCTGGACGGCCTCCTTGTTTAAGTTGGTGAATGCTACTATAATCTTTGCTTTCATTTCATATTTAGTGTTACGAGGAGTTTTATCATTATCTCTTTAACTGCACACCACACATAATAATCAAGGAGTTTGCAGTCTAGGGAATTAAGTGACCAGATTTAAGAGGTGATGTGGTCGCAGAAATTGTCTGACAGCCATGACTGGATTTCCCTGTTTGTGTCGCATGCTCCAGAGTCCTGTTGCCAGACAGGATCCTGCAGCAATCACCCTCTTGACCTAGGACAGCATTACGTCCTTGATGTAGGCCTCCGTGTTGAGTCTGAGGCCCTCACCAACAAATTCGAGAGTTCTTTTCTTATTAGAACGATCAGAGTGAGTTTTCCGAGCTGCCGTACCTTCGTAATCACCATTAGACTCATCCAACTCTTTACGTATCCTCTGCACTATCCTCAGGTTGGCACCCAAGGGCAAAATAGGTCGGTGATTTTTTAGTGGGTAAACTAGTATTAATTGAGTGATTGATTCGTTTTTACGGCTTATCAACCCTTTGTAAGTTATATAAAGCCCAAAAATATTTGTAGATTGTAAGGAGGTTGTTTGGTCGGGGTAACAATATAATGGTTTAATTAACCCATAGCTGGGGTGAGAAGAGGTGGATTAATACCTTTCTCAAGGGTTTTTGCGCGTAACTGATTATAACAAACCCAACAGGAGTTGGAATTTGACTCACCGATTTACAATTCTGAGCCGTTATCTATTAAATTTCTCGCATAACCAAGCTTAAAGAAGCTGGTATTCCGAAGTGGTCACTCATCTAGTTACTGACCAGGTTCGACGTTGCTTATCTTCGATGGCGATACGGGACCGGTGTTTCAACGTGATATGGCCGTAAACCCACTAAGAAGGGAGGATTTTGGAAAATTTGACATTAAGTTGGTATATTGAAGGTAAGGCAGACAATGTGACGTAAATGGATGGCAGAACGGCGTGTGAGGGATAGTAAAGAGTTAAGCTCTACAAAGTATTGGAAGTTGTGAAGAGCCGTGATTGCCCACGTCTGGAAAGAACACAGAACACGACGTAAATTTTTATGGTTCGAATATCACCTTTTACGCCGACATATACGATAGTTTAAAAATTATTTGGTAAACAGATTCTTACCTTAGATTATTATCACCCCAATGGTCTTCCGAACATGGTTGGCGTGTTATACAACATGTACGTCCAAACTATCTCTAACGAATTAGTAATAGTAGTTATATTATTAGTAGTAGGAGTAATAATAGTAGTATTAGCTTCTTTCTTTCTTTTTGTGTATCTGTCTTTATTCTGTCTTTCTTTTTTGTCTTTCTCTGTCTTCCTCTTTTTCGTGTTTTGCTATTTGTGTATTTCTCTTCTTTTTTTTTATTCCTACCGTCCAAATTTTCCCATGGTAACAACTTAATCCTCACATTTTATAACTGGAGTTCGAGGGTCATTCAATAAATAAGGTGAATTTTTCGGTATAAGGACTTCTAATACAGATAGAAGCTTTTTTTTTTTTTTTTTTTCAACGTAGTCTCCCCAGCACTGTCACACTTTTTTTCCATCTATGCACAAGCTTCCGTATTCCCTCAGCGTAAAAATCTTTGGACTGATGTCTCAGCCAGTCGCTCACAACACTTTTGACTTCATCGTCACTTTTAAACTTCGTGCCTCTCGTGAACGCTTTCAAAGGACCAAACAGGTGAAAGTCTGAAGGGGCAAGGTCTGGGCTGTGGGGGGATGAGGGAGCAGTTCCCAGCCCAGCTCGTTGATGGTCTGCACCGTTTGGGCTGCTGTGTGAGGCCTTGCGTTGTCATAATGCAAGATGACTCCTTCTGACTGATGACCCCAGCGTTTGTTCTTTATGTCTTTTCTTTGACCTGCCTCAGCAGTTCACAGTAGTTCTTCTGTCAGACTGAATGAGGTCATTGACTCAGTCGATCACCTCAGGAGACCTCACTTCTGTAGGTCCCCCAGGCCTGTCTTCATCCTCAACACTGCTCTGTCCTTCTTTAAACAATTTAGCCCACTTGTAGACATTTTTTGGCTGAAACATGTGGCACCATACACAGTTGACATTCTCCTATGAATTTCAACTGGTTTTGCACCCTTCAGCAACCAAAAACTTGATAACTGACCGCTGTTCAATCATGAGCATGCCAATTGGTCGGCCATCTTGTTAATCGCCAAAACTCAAAGGTTTTTTTAATCAACAAAAGAAATTAAATCCATGTGAAAAGAAGTAAAACAAAAAATAAAATAAAATAATCACAACCTTCTATCTGTATTAGAAGTCCTTATACCGCACAAAAAATTCTACTTATTTATTGAATGACCTCGTACAAAAAAATCACACCAACAATGTTTTTTTTTTTTTTGAAATAAAATTTCAACTTGTGCAACACACGAAAACATGGTACTTTCACATACACGAAAATGTTTCAGATAATGTCACACAAACCGCAAAAGAATTCTAAACAAATTTCAGAGATATTCCAAATTTTTGCATGAGAATAATTTAATGTCTGGTTTTACCAAACGTTTAAAGTCCGCAAAACCACCAGAAATCAATTTTTTTTTTTTTTTTTGCCTGACTCCACAATTTAATTATTAAATGTTTTCCTCTCATCCAGCATATGTGTTCCTTTTCAACCATTCTAAGAATCCTACGTCGTAGAAAGAAGCAAAAAAAAATACTTAGAATAGGAAGACGTTTGTTAACATACGTCTCCAATGCTTTTGTAAATATCCCGATCTCTTTAATTTTGACCTCTTTAGGTCATTTTTTTTTTTTTTTTTTAAATATTAAATATAAATAATGTCATCTACCTATCTTCGACAAAAACTGGCCATCATGTTGAAACACCAATTCCTGAAAGATTTTCCGCTGGAAAAACGTTGAGCCTGATAAGTAACTAGATGAGTAACCGCCGGGTGCTAACTGCAATGTTTACATTTCAATTTTTATAACATACAATTGCTGATATAGATATAACTTTAACCCATAAATACACATAACTTAGCCGAGGCTGCCCACATATGTTTATATATATATATATATATATATATATATATATATATACATCGATTTTTTAAATACATGACGAATGACAAAACACTGAAATTGCCATGTTTCAAAACTGAAATACAATTCAACCTCAATCATAAACCCAAATTTTAAAAACATTAATCAGTTTGATAATGAAACGTAAATTTGAATATATAATTTAAATGCAGTATATAATATATTATAAAAAAATAATTATAATAATAATTCAGAAAAAATGTTGTATCGAAAATATGTCCACACTTTTCCACGAAAAAAACAGAAAAAATTAATGCTAAGAACTTTATAAAAGAAATTGAAACCAAACCTTTAAAATTAATTTCAACATAAACATATATATATATAGTATACCTAGTCGAATCCGACGTAACAAGTCAGTCAACAGGAAACCGACAGTCCGACAACGACATATAAAATTTAATTATAGATGACGTGAAATTTTTGTGCAAGACCATGAACACTAAATTTTGAAGGGCTATATTTAATAATACCTGATGATGACATTATGTTATGTCGAAACTAAGAATAAACAAATGTGAGCCAACACGGAAGTTTGTCCTCTCGTCCTAGACCAATTGCCACAGAAAAGCTTAGAGAATATGAAAGTCTGTAAATTATTTATTTGCCCATAGCTGAATATATATACATGCATACATATTTATATAAATATATTATATATATATATATATGTAATGGAAGTGGAATTGAATTCGAACTCGGCAGTCTCCGATGTCATTCCAAGGTAAACGTCAGGCCATATGTGCCTTTTATTGACTATTATAAACAATTAACGCATACGCCTTTATCTTTTAAAAAAAACTAAATACGCGAACAGTAATACTTTCTTAAATATATTGGTTTGATTAAAAAAGAAATCACACCAAAAGGTCAAGGAAAATTAAGAAAATAACATGTACGTTAACAAAATAAATCCCAAAGATTCAAGGCCTGTGTGAAGAAAAAAAATATAATTACATTCCCAGACCAACAAAAAAATAAATAAAATAAAGAACTCATTTCAAAATGAGTAGAACAGAGAATAAATAAAGATAAATAAATAATAAAATAAAAAACAAACCAAACTTAAATAATATATATATATATATAAATATATAAATAAATAAATATTTAAACAATTAAAACCTTTTTTTCGCACACAAAAACGTAAGAAATATTTTTTATACAACCAATAACAATTCTTCTAATTTTTTTTTCTCAATAAAATTTATCTAAACAAATTATAAATGTTCTGTATAAAAAGGTATCCAGACTCACAATTATTTTATTCATTATCAAGGATAGATTTCATTTACTTTTTATTTAAATAACCGTTAATAAAAATAAACCGTTAGAATAATGAACAATAGAAAATTACATCAAGATTTAAAAAATGAATCGATGCACAAAAAATCACTGAAAAATAAAATAATTTTTTGATAATGGTTACAACAGCATAGCCGAAAGTCGTTCGGGGGACAGAAACATTCAGACGGAATTTCTATATAATCTATGTTCAGAAAAGGAAAATAAATTATGAAAAACAAGAAAATTAAATGAAAATTTAACTGGAAGTCTCTCTCCAGTCTATTTTCAAAATCTGTTCATATATATATATGTGTAATCTATATCTATATAACTATATATTTATATATATATAGATAGATGAGGCTAAAACGTTATATATACACACACTAAAACACGAACAAATAAACGAAAGAAATATTATATATATATATATATATATATATATATATATATAAATATATAACCATGGAATATAAGATATTTAATTTTATATATGAATGTTATTCTGTCTCGAACATGAAATAACAGATGAAACGAATCAAAAACCCTTTTAATTTATTTATTTTATAATATATATATATATATATATATATATATATATATATATATATATATATATATATATATATATATATATATATAAAACAATAATATAATCTTTAAAAGTATCTATGTCTTCTATCTTCATCATCTATCCAAACAAAAGAATTGATGAAAAAGAACAGAATCGGTCTGTGTTTTTTGATTTTATTATATTTATATATTTTTAAATTTATAATGATGACAAAGATGTTGAGAAACAGTCTGAATTTGTGGATCATATATATATATATATATATAAACAAATGTCTAAATATTTTTTCAATATATTTTAAGCATACTTTAGTTTCTTGAAATAAGGTGTTTGTTTGTAGAATTAAAAAATTATCCTAATGTTAATATCACATTTTTTATCTATCTCCTGGTATTCTTTACGAAAAGGGTATGAACTTGAAAATGGTCTATCGTATATAAAACATTATTAACCTTTACGTTGCATACATAAAAAAAAACACACATATTAAAAACATTCATTTTGATTTAATGCTAATTAAATATATGACGGACATTAATTATATCATATGCATTCAAGATAACTCCCCACGATGTAATAGGTTGCGACATAAGGTTTATTTAATGTAATAGTTGATTCTTTTTTCTCCTTGCAGGGAACAATGTTGCCCGCAAATATTGCAGTGTTATTCATTAATGTTTGCTTGGTGTAATGAGAGGGCGCGGCCTCGGGTTTGACAGGTGACAAGTATATCTGCGAAACCTCTCAGTGGATTTGCTCGATTTGCGACTTAATGTCTTTTTGGACGGAGTTGGAGATGAGTGCACTCGGACCAAAGACAGAGAACGCAAATGATAAGTATTTTTGTTACAAACTACTGAGGGTAATACTTTAGAAATGAATTCGTTGGTAATAATTAAAGACGTGACACACCTTTTATGAGTCATCCATGTGGACGTGATATGTACAGGCGAATTATATTTTAACAAACTTTTTCATCCGGTTTTTAAAAAAACAAAAAAACAGTTGCGTAAGTTAATGGTGTGTTTATTTTATATATATATATATATTTATATAAATATATATATAATCAAACAAAATTCATTCGTCTATGTGATTAAGGTTTTATTAATTGCCTAAGTTCATTTTTACCTTCATTCAGAATCGTGGACGCCAATACAGGACGCAGAATCAATCAAATTGATGCCTTTTCAGCCGGGTTTCTTCGTTCAATATGCGGTTATACACGGCAGGACAAAATCTCTAACCCTGATCTTTTCATCAAATGTGGTGTCGGTGTTGAAAATCCTTTCTGAATCAATGACAGTTCAGATATATGTTCATATCATCAGAATATATGATATATATATATACCGAAAATCCTCATCTATAGTCAGTGTTTTTCATGATAAGTTCTTACGTAGGCCATCCATGGTTACCATTCAAGGATAAACTTAAATACAATTTAATTGCTGTAAACCAAAATATTGAGGATTTCGAAATATAATATATTTGAAAACACGACAAACTGGAGATGTTAATAGATGTCGAGGTATAATTTGTGAACTTTGAAAAGAATATATATATATATTAAATATATATAAAATATAATTGATAATAAGAATACGGAGCCCATATTATCCATTTCTATTATGCCCTTTCTGTGAAATTTGTTTGTTCAAATCAGACGTGAAGGATTGGTATCAAATGGGGAAAAATAAACAAAAAAATCATTAAAACTGGGGAAAAAAAGAATACAACAAAATGATTAATATTACCAATAAGATTAATTATATATATATATATATATATATATATATATAATTGACTTATTGGTTTATTAAATTTCTTATTAAAGTTCTTCTTCAGATAACTTTAAAAAATTATTTTAGAGTTATTAAAATTATTGGATTATCGTCTAGTCTACATTGAGTTCTCCCCGAATTAAATCCTCCTCGGAACAATATATCCAGTCACAACTGGTAAAACGTATATATATTTATATATATATATATATATATATATACGGAGGAATGGAGGCCTACACACTTATACACTCACCCACACGAATATACACACGTACACACACCATACTCACTCACTCCCTAATGAGCCAAATGATAACACACACCTACAGCAATACACACGCATACACATATCATACTCACTCACCCTAAGAACCAAATAACACACACACAAACACTAAACAGAGACACATCCCCTCACCAGGTTCAATAAAACTGTCAAACTGACCAGAGAATTCAGAATAAAATGTATCTATCCAGTTCTTATTTCAAATAACAACTTAAAAGAGACTGTTTGACCAACACAAAGGAATGTTAAAAGATTCATGTTAAAAAAAAAGAAAAAAAAATAAAAAAACAAATGAAAACTACAGACAAAAGTTCATTTTCTCCAACAAAAGACATTCATTTCTGTAATTCACTGCCAACAGCAAGCAGAAATATTTCTCCTCCTGATGATGGCCATTTCGGTCGAAACTAGTCGAGGAATCTAAATGGAATAATAATAATAAAAAAACGAAAGAATATTAATCTACAACCCAGTGTGTCTAATGATTTTAATTTTTTAATTTTTTATTTTCTTATTGTTCAAAATATATATATATATATATATATATATATATATTTTCAAAAATTCAAAAATAAATATAAATAATAATAATTTTTACCTATCATAATTTTACACAAACCCCACCACACGTATATACATACATGCGAGGAAATATTTTTCAGCGGAAAAATACATAATATGACATGTATACATTCACGAGACATTTCCGCCACACTTCCAATGTTTAAATTTCAACATTTCAACATACAAATGCGTGTGTATAGACATAACACCACCCGTATACATACATATGTCATAGCCGAAACTGCCCACATATGTTTATATATATATATGAGTCCCGACGGACGACCAAGTATGAATATGTGTCTGCATACATCGATGTTTGCGTTAGTACGATGAATGACAAAACGACGAAGTTTCCCCACCACTTCCACAATAACACCAATACACGCAATCTACATAAACCCCAATTTTTAAAAACATTAATCAGTTTGTCTGACGATCGCTAAAGCGTGAAACCCAGGGTCACATCTATCCAACTAAATATATATATATATATATATATATATATATATATATATATATATATATATATATATATATATAGTAGGATTTTGACTAAATCGAAGCACGAATAGGAAGATTTAAAAGTTGGAATTTTCGGACAAGTCTGTGCCCTTTTTCAGCGAGTCGAGAAACAAATAAACAAAGAAGTGGGAATCACTCTTTCAGGAAATGTTGTTGTTGGTTAGAGGGCTCACTGTGAAAACTGTATTCTCACTAAACCCAATTTGTCAACTTTTAAATGAAGATGCCAAAACAATATATATATAACATTCGCGGAAAAACTCATTCTCAGCCCCTCAGTGCGATTAGACAAACAAAGGCCTCAAGCTCGGATCGAAACTCAACCGATTTGGTGGCAGTCAGAGTTTCTACCATTGAGCGACCTTCCCTCGACAAAAGTTTATTGTTTTTACAAACGTAAACAAACGCCAAGCAGCCATAGTGCTCCATTCATTTTACTGAAGAGTTTCGCATTAACGCAGGGGGCTATTGTTTTTAGAATTAGCTTGTCATTCAACGGTGCTCAATTGAAAATATATTTTCAAGAGTTAAATTATATATATATATGTAACACAATGAATGTCTATTATGTTTGATCATGAGCCGTTCTAATGTTCTTATGTTTGCTTTAATTTCGGGTGAAAATAAAGACAAAAATTGTCCTTGATATGAGCTTTCGGTTCACATGAGCCATCTTCAGAGTGGTTATACGGACATTTAAACAATGATATTCAGCATTGAAGATAATATTATGTCATGTTGACATAGAAGATTGCTATTCGATGATACTAGTCGTGGAATAGCAGACGCAGTTATATATATATATATATATATATATATATATATTATCGTAAGTTCTATATATATATATATATATATATATATATATATATATCGTAAGTTTTATATATATATATATATATATATAGATAGATAGATAGATAGATAGGAGTTCTTTTCCACAAGATTTCTCAAAGAAAAGTTTAAGTTTGAAAATTAGAAAACAAAAATTCTTGAAAAACCAAAACTACTCATGAAGTAAATAATTTGAGATCATTGAAAGAATCTTTCATTCTTCTTTTTTTAATATGAATCTCCTGAAACTTTTGACTAAATTATTCTTATTCTACAAGGGATATCTCATTAGTTTTGCAAGAAGTTAAACAAGTCAAATTTGGCTATTTCTCATTCTCAGGGATTTTTTTTTTCGCCATCTTTTGGCCTTCATTACAAAGAGGAACTTTCTCGTGGCAAAGTTCCGGTCTGTGACGGTCTCCTAAAATTGCGCCATTATTCTGAAAACCATTTCAATTTCGAGGTATCCGTTCAGGCCTTAAATTGGTTTTGGTGTATTTGTTAGTGCTTGAAGAATGGAAAAAAAAAAGAAGAATGCGATTGAAAATGGCCGATTGCATTGCCTGAAAGAACAGCTTGGGCAAGTCACTTGACTTCAACATGTTTCTCTTTGATCAATAATATCGAGAGTTTAAATGACGCAACAACAATCGTTTCCGCTGATAATGACGCTATTTTATTTAGTGGGATAAGGAATAAAACGAATCAAGTAATCTTTTTTTTTTTGGTAGGGGGTGGCTAAATATATCTAAAGCAAATTTGGCCAAGAACCCCTCTCAAGTTTGTCAAACTTTTCCACAAATGTTAATCGACTTTGAAAAACAAAAAAATTATCCTGAGCTAACACGAATAATTTTTTATTTTTTTTGCTTTTATGAATTCCTCATTTAAAGACCGCCACAGGCCGCTCTCAAGTCCGATGTCAAGCCACGTGCGATTCATACAATTTATATCAAAATTATTTGCAAATAAAGAAGGGGGTGATATTTTTTAAAGATTTAACTCCAAACAAGGCGGAATGCCACTAGTACGCGGCGGGGGGACTGTTACAAAGAGGATTGATTTTACTTTGCAGATATTGACATTTTGTACATCATAAATCCCTTGTATAGAATCCATGATGTTCTATATTACAGGTCTGCTCATAGTGCAACTAAGGGACAGAACTGGAGGCCTAATTTAAAATGTTTGAATTTCAGAGATTTGTGGGGAAAAGTAAAGTTTGTATATTTTTTTTTTTTTTAATCATTTCACCCCAAGCAAGTCTGAAACATCACTAGTACTCAGTGAGCTAAGGGGAGGGAATGTGAAAGATTGACATCAGTAGAAATCTTGAAAGAATTTTTCCATTTCGAAAAAGGATTGAATTTACTTTGCAGATTTATGCTCTGATATTCACATTTTGTACATCATCAAAATTTATTTATTGTCCATCACTTAATATATAATAATCCATGGTGTTTTATACTAAAAGTCTGCACATGTTGCAACTAAAGGACAGAACTGGAGGCTTAGTTCAACATGTTTAAATTTCAGAGATTTGGAGAAAAAATATTTTTTTTGTTTTGTTTTTACACCATTTCACCCAAGCTAAAAGGTTACTAGTACGCAGGTGGGTACGGGGAGGGAGAGTGAAAGAAAAAAAATGAGTATAGGGAGGAAAGGATAAAAAAGGAACGGGATTCAAGACGTCAGAAAGATGGCGATTGACGTCACATTTAAAATTTTGAGGATTGTAGTTATGAGGGAAGCAAGAAATCTGAAGGGATTTCCAAAGGTGGAAAGTGCTAAAAAAGAAACTGTTGGAGTAGAATTAGCTATTTCAATAGTAAACAAGATGCATAATCCCGATCAATTACATTACGGATCCTTCTTTGGATGAATACTCGGGAAATAGTGAGACTCTAAGTTAAAACAAACAAAATTTATGACTCTCCACAACTTCCTATCCTTTGTAGCTCTTAGAAATGTTTGACTTTTTACTTCTACTTCCTCTTCTGCCATTCATTTCCACATTCTCGTTAGCCAGGTTACTCATTGTTAACCACTGTTCCTCTTGTCTTCAATATGTCCTGTGAGTGTTAAATTCTGAAAGTCGTCTTTTCTCATTATACAGGGTGTTTCAAAAAATTTGATATCATTTCGCAATCTAATAACTTTGTTAGATCTCCTTCAAATGACTTCAAATTTTAATAGCATCTTTATGTTTAATGTTTGTTTTATGTTTTTTTGTCTTTATGCTTTTGTGATTTTCTTATTTGTATTTTTATGTTCTTTAATCTTTAATCTTTTTCTTTAC